AAAACCTATTCTGCATCGTTAACAAAGATGTGCTCAGTATCGACTCTAGATTAAAACTCTGGTAAAACCGTTAAATGTACGCTCGATCAACGTTTAAATTTCCTGCTAGTGCTACTAACAAAACCAGCTTCCATGGAAGTTTCCAGAGTGTACGCTTCAACAAAGTGCCGTGCACATTTCAGGGGCAGAACATTGTCGCGTAACAGTTAAAAAAACATGTTAAAAACTAACAAACTGTTTAATAAATGTACAACAAATCTAAAATAACCTTTAGCTTAGAAATTAATTTACATGGTTAATATCAAGGGTGTAATGCAAGGAAAGTTATTTGCGGGCGTGTATACTCTGCGTACACATTGAAACCAGCTCTCTTTGGGCGGAATTTGTAAACAAGAATAGAGGCATCATATCAGTGTTCGTTTAGTACCCGAGCAGGTTAAAAGCATTAAAAATTGATAATTTTGATAATTTACATAATAGTTTCCTATGACCAGAATATTTCATTGATTATTTTATGTGAAAGATGGATCCCATGTCAGGCTTTGACATCTGTCTTGTGTTTACATTACCGCCCAGAGACAGTACACTGCAGTACAAAAGATGTGTACACTTCTGAAAAAACTTTCCTTCCATTACATTCTTGATTAAGATATTCCAGTAAAATGTGAATCAAAATTGTCCTTTGTGTGATTATTAGATATAGGATTCAAACCTTTTTTTACTATTTTCTCTGCAATATTTTCACAACGTATTTTGAAATATTTTGATATTTAAATGTTAAAGTTTTAAATATGGTTCGGGTGTATACAATAAGAAGATCTCTTTATATTGGTGCTCATGTAATGTAATTTGTTTATGAATAATTAAACAAGTTGATACAACTGAGAATAAACTTTAGTTTAACAATCCATATTTAATTGGAGTAAGTAGATATTATACTTGAATTTGATCAAGTATTAGATTTTAAACTTTTTACTTTATATGTTTTCATAAGAGAGAGATGTTATTTCAAATCATATGTACAATATATAAACTTTGAAAAAAAGAGTTGTAATTAAAGGAATTAAGTTTTTGCCTCATACTTAAATTTTCAAATTCCAATATCTTAGCGACCTGATGTTTTACACATTTGAAATTTCAAACTTAGATAAGTTGAGCTAACATATTTCATAGTTTGAAATATCTATGGTCTACGACATTTGGTTGGAACAATCATTTATTTATCTATGGGAACAATACAAGGACTAGAAAATCAGAGTTTGTTGCAAAGACTCAATTCCTTTCCTGGTGGGGGAGCTTGTAATCAAATAAACCTTTAAGTATCTTTCAAACTTGAGACTAAAAACCAAGAAAATATATAGTTTTCCTCAAATTTCTCAATAATTTTATGACTTTTGTCATAGTGCGGGCCATATTGATAGGAGAAGGCACTAAATTTGACATAGATCAATTTTCATTTTGTGACTGTTGATAAAAAAAAACATTTTTTAAGGGCACCAATCAATTAAAGGTTTTTTAAGCAAAAAATTGGACTTTTCTGAAAAAAACTTATAAAGATGTTTGGATGTGTTAGACCAGCTCAAAGGAAACCTAAACGCTATACAAAACATTTTTTTTACATTTACCAATAATCTTTTATCAGTTTGGCTAATCAAAACTATTTGATCGCAACAGGCTAATTGGACTAAAATTTGCAATTTTTTACTGTAAATATCTGAACAGGGACAGTAAAAACGGGATAGCAGAGCTCTGTTTTCAATTCTCGGTTTTAAAGTACCTTTTTAAAGGTCTTTTCATAAAAGGTGGGATAAATTTTAACATTTTACTCCAAAACCTGGGAGCAACTCCAAAATCCAGGGAGCACTCCGAAACCTTGGGAGTAATTCCAGGACCTTAAGAACAGCCATCCCACACTCGTTGAAATACAGAAGCGGTTTCCGGAGAACACATAAAACAGACTTTCAACTCTCTTAATGCCGCGTACAATTAATCATCTAAAATCCAATAAAATTCACTGAAGTTTCAAATTTTACAATTATTAAACATCGTATTTCAATGTGAAAAATTTAATGGGCAAATTTATTTCAGCAAATTTGTGCCTTTAAAATACAGGGTATCCCAGGAAATGTGACACTGACAGTTTCAAATGTCTTCTTCCATGATTTGATAACTTCTTTGAAAGCAAAGACAATTTTTTTTAAAAATCACATGATCGTCATATTTCAGTAAAATTGATAGCTAAAGAAAACAAATTTGAGTTTTTTAACGAAATGAACTGCAAAAAGTCTATAATATCTAAGAAAGTATGTGGAAGAAGACATTTAAAACTATTTTTGTATATCTTTAAGATCTAGATATTTATTGATGTATCAAGGTTATTACAAGTTTACAAAATTGTAAATATGGATTTAACACAGAACTTTTTTGCGATGTTATCGTGTATATACAATTATAAATTGATAAGGTCGAAATCTAGAATTTTACAGATATACATTTTTTTCGTTTTTTCATGCCTTGATTGCTGATAAATTTATATTCAAGTATTGACAAAGCAGCAGTTCAAGAGAAAAAACTACATTATATATTAAAGGATAGCATACTTTTGTGAAATATGACTGGGAGATACAACAAACACAGTGTCCCTATTTACCAAATTACGTATTTCACCAACGGTGCGTAAATACCCTTATTTTTCGTAAAATACTCGAACTCAAATCCGAAAATTTTTTGTACTTTTTGCAAATTTGTCGAAAAATACGTAAAATTTACGAATATCTAATTGCGTAAAATTTCACGTAAAACTTTGACAAATTTTTTTGTAAAATTTTTCGAACAATTTTCCGAAAGTTTAAAAAAATTTTGTTTACTAAAAAAGTTTTGCAGGTAACATATTTGGTAGAAATTAAGGAAAAATGTTGTAAAATTTTGGATGTTTGAAAAGAAGAAAATATATATGATGTAAATTTATTTAAAAAATTTTAAATCATAGTTTTTTGTCAAAAATTAGCTAAAAACGTCACTGTAACATTCAAAGTATCTTCGCGTCAATTTAAACAAAATACTTTTACTGATTGATTGGCATTTGTCGTCTTTTCAAAACTCAATTATATTTTTATTTGGTGCCGTATATTCTGACCTAGATGATTGTAACCTAAAGGTTTTTCTGACCTAAATATCGAGTAGTTTGCACGTGTTTTAGGTCGGTTTGGTTGAAAAAAGCTTTAGGTCCGTTTGACATCCTATGAGAAATATATAGGTTTTCCGACCTAAGATTTAGAGATATATTTAGGTTGGTTGAGCATATATATTAGGTCATGTTTACCAGGAAGTTTAAGTTGGATTAGTGAAAAGTTAATTTCTGTTTTTCAACTATATATTTAAACATTTAAAAAAAATATTACTCATCTTTTATAACCTCTGAAATAAAAATATTACTCAACCGACCAAAAAATATTGCTCATCCAACCTAAAAATATTGCTCATCCGACCGGAGAATATTGCTCATCCGACCTTAAAATATTGCTCATCCGACCTAAAAATATTGCTTAACCGACCTTAAAATATTGCTCAACCGACCTTAAAATATTGCTCATCCGACCAAAAAATATTGCTCATCCGACCTAAAAATATTGCTCAACCGACCCAAAATGAATGCTTATCTAACCTAAAATTGTTGCTTTAACCAACCTAAAATATATTCCCAACTGACCTAAAATATATTAATAACCGACCTAAATATATTTCTAATCTTTAGGTCAGTTTGGGACATTTCGCTAATCGAACCTACAGATTTTTAGGTCGGAAAAACGTTAGGTCAGAAAAACGTTAGGTCAGAAAACCGTTAGGTTCATTTCCTCTAGGTTCGATGAGCGGGTACCATAGATAAATAAATAAACATAGATAGCTTATGTACGTATGTGGTTTGGTGTTTTAATGGATTTCATAATAGAGTGTAAAATAACACCAGGAATGGAACTATTTGAACAACAATATTTCACTATGCAATATTTCATATTGACGAGAACTGAAGAAGGACATGAGAAGGACTAAACTAACTTAAATTTCTCTCTACAGAACTCATGTACACCACAAGCACTCAATGATATAAGAACAGCCAATGTTCACAACCGACTTAGTTAATCTCTATAATAGGAATATCTTTAAACATCTCTGTACATTTATATCTGTCAAGATGAAAAATGTCGTCTTATGCGCAATCTATTTTTAACTATGGCGGGTACCCCCTGGAAGGGTATTGGACGGGATGTCGGCATCCATCAGATATCGGCCAATATCATATCAATTAATCCAGTTATATATTTAAAAAGATTGTTGTGCCTCCAAGTATATCTTTTTTGGTGTGGTGCAACCTTTCAGCCATTCAGCCATATGGTTTGTAGTTTCTTGTCTTCTACCTTGCAATTCAGCGCCTGCCTGTAGACATAGTTTGCAGAGATCTGGTGCAGATTTTCCCCATTGTAGAAGGTTAGTTTGTGTTGGCAGGGTGTCCAAACAGGAGTTGAGTAGGTATTTCAGTGTACCTTTTTTCAGATTGAACATGTAAGATTTCCAGATCATGTCAGATTTTTCAAGCATTGCCAGGCAGAGAAAATGTCCTTGTTTTATGAATGTTTCTGTATGTTCTCTCCATAAAGTTTCGTTTTCAAAAGATACTTTTTCACTGACAGTTGTTTTCATTTTTATTTTTAAAGCCCCACATTTGTTTTCAATTGAGTCCGTTTTCGATTTGTTATAAAACAAGTTACTCTTGATTAAACATTTTGTTCCCTGTTTAACTTTATTTGTAAATTAATTCTAAAACTTGTTTTAACAAATAGAAATCCTAAAACTTTGTAAGTAAACGTTGACCGAACGAATACCACACCAAAAACAATTATCATTGTTTTAAGTCGAAGTTTCTAAATCCATGAATTTGCAATTCTAAAAAATTTGCATTTTCACATTAATTAAAAAATGGTGTACAGCAGAAATCTAAAAATATGGAAGAAGTTGAAAAAATTGAACTATTTTCTGTCCCAGAAGAAGATCCAGGTAAAAATGTTAAAAGACTGAAAAAGTTGTCGTCTTCTATCTTTTTAAAACAATTAGATATTAGCATCTACTTTCTTTGCTTTCGCTTATTTCAGCACCAATGTCCCTTATTTTAACATGTTCTTGCTTCTCATGTATTATATTTTATTTAATTCTTTAGTAGTTATCTATGTTAAAATTTGTATGTACCATGGGGCTAAGTTCAGACCTTTCAGTCCAGGACCGAATTGTAAAAAAAAATCTTTATAAATTTAAATTTCGAAATACATTATTGTTGATCATTATTATTAGTAAGTAAACAAATCTTCGCAAAATTTTATCATAAAGAGAAACGCAAACACAAAAGAACGCTTTTGGTTATCATCGAATTAACAGCACAATTTCCGAGTTATCTAAACTTGATTAGAAAAAACCTTTAAATACATTAAAATGTCATCGTTGATCATGTAAAATAGCGCTGTAACATTAAACCTTGAAACGATTTTAAGAAATAATTATTTAAAATTAAAAAAAAGAAAAGATTAGCATAAGTAGAAAAATAGACAAATATATGATGTCATATAACCAATTTAAACTAAAATAGCAAAATGGATGTCATTGGAAAGGTTTAAAATGAAACACGATTAATAATACTCAATAAAGATTGAAAAATACTAAAACTCAAAAAAAAATGGTACGCTATACATTTTTTATGTACAGGGTGTCCCAAAAAACATGGGAATTCAGTGACGAATTCGATATCGTCTTTGTTATGAATTAGCATTGTAATACCTAATTTCAAAAGCAATAGTATTATCATGTCTGCTAGAGTTTATTTTATGAAAAGGATAAAAGACTGTAAAGATGTGTCTATAATGTCTCCGCACGATGAACAGTGAAGACGGACAAGTTTACTCTGTTTGTATACTGTACTTATCTTGTTTTACTAAGTACAACCGTATGCAGTCAAAACATAAACAAACAAGTTATAAACAAAGCAGACGAAACTCTTACAGATTACAGCTTTCTCATTAGGTATCACTATTCTAAATCAAAGAATTATTTAAAAAGACGATATCGAATTCGTCACTGAATTCCCATGTTTTTTGGGACACCCTGTATTATAAGGCCGGCTTAAACCCTCTTTGTACATGTCTTTAAAGGGACTGTGAAGGAAAAATGAAAGGGGGTATAGGCTGAAAGCTAATCACTTTAGCTCTCGATCGCGACCCATAAAAGTTATATCTGATGTTCCTATCTCGAGAAATTGATTTACAGCTTTGTCAAATACATACAAAAATTAATATATATACAATTTTGTATAAAAGTAGTGGGTTTAAAAAGATCAAATTCAGCAAATATGCAACCAATCTGAAAACGATGATGAAAAGCTAATTGTAACTTAGGTTTACTCCAATTCTAATTTTATATTTATTATTTCTATTTTTTATAGATTTAATTCATAATATTATTTATACGTCCGTATTGCTTGACCAGAAATTCCACTAATGGCAGTGCAGTAAAGTGGTCACGTGATACAGGCGGAGACACGTGACCAGTATACTGCTCTGCCATTGGTGATAGTTCTGGTCACGTGATTTAAGTTTAAGATTTTCTAAATTTTACATATATGAACTTTCGTATAATTTTAACACAGTTTTATATCAATTTCTCGAGACAGGAACATTAGATAAAACTTTCATGGGTCACGATCACGAGCTAAAGTGATTAGTTTTCAGCCTATACCCCCTTTCATTTTTCCTTTACAGTCCCTTTAAGTATAAACATTAAAGCATTTTAAAGATTATTTTTTATATATTTTTTGTTCAGTTTTGAAGAAAGAGAGTACATCTTCTATAAATGTAAAATCAGAGGAGGTAAGACTCAGGGGCGGAAATTAAAAATCATGATTTGGTAGAAACCTGAGAGTGAGAACTAGCTTTAGATCACAAGCAAATTCCTAAACGTTACTTTCCCGGGAAAACTGTTGAAATCCAACAATTTTCTTCTTTCTCACCGCTTGCATTATATCCGCATGTTACTTTGTTAGAGAATAGATAGATAGATAAAATAATCAACTTTAAGAAAAGAAAATCAACATTAAAGATAATTGGTTTGAGAATATTTCGCTTTTTATCAAAAATGCCGTTCGCGAATAGATAGCACATTCCTACATAGGTTCCTACTTCCTCTTAACCCTATCCCGATTGGGCTATTTTTGTCTAATATAGATAAGGGGGGGGCTGATGGGCTTAAAAATCATTTCAATAAATTATTATGATTTTGTGCAGGAATGGCGTAAACTTATTCATACAAGTGGTCTTGTTATTGTTGACGTGTACTGCGGCTGGTTTGGTCCTTGTTCACCAATAGAGAATTATCTCAAAAAATTAAGACTTGCCAATGTCAACAATATGGACAGGTAAATTGATTTTTGGCGCATTTTCAGCAATCTCAATCTTTGCTACCATACACCACGAGTCTAAGTCAACTGTTATGTTTAAAGTAAGACCCGATTTAATAGAAGGGATTTTATTTATTGCAACTAATTTCTTTCAATTTTTCGTCTGTCAACCAATCCAATATTATAACTTTTAAATTCTTTATGTTGATTTAAATTTTGAAAAATGCAATATGTGTTCTTTACATCAGTCATGCAACCGGCTTGAATTATCGAATTAAAAAAAATTTTCGATTGAGTCGAAAAATTGGCATCTTTTACATTTTGTTCTTCTTATTCTTAATTCTGATGTTAAATTAGGGTTACTCTAGCGAAGGCATGCAGTGACAAAATTGAAGAGTTATCTCCATTCAGGTACACGGTGTCCCACGAGTCCCACACAACTCGACAGTAGCAAGACAAATTGACGGTCGCCTTTAATCGTTAAAATAATTTGCTTGAGTACGTCGGAACCTAATTTTAGGAGCAAAGTTCTAGAGTTAATGACAACAAACTACCCTTAGTCCATTTCCAAAATGTGGTCTACCTTTTTTTGCGCTTTTAACATTACTGGGGATATGTAGAATTTTCACAGCACAAAAAATGCAGACCACATTTTGGAATTACCAGGACTAGGAAAATTTTGTGGTTATTGATTAAAGAATCATACATGTGAAAGTAGGTTGACGACTGAATGTCACAAATAAATTCAAAGTTCAAAGACGACCTTCAAATCGTCTTGCAACTGTCATGTTTGGCAGGACACCCTGTATATTGTTCAGGGAACGTCAAGTTAAAGTAAATTATTAATTTTAACTATTAAATGTTTCTAATCATGGCTTCTCTTGTTGAAGAACTATTAGAAGGAGAAAACTGTTTTCGATTTCTAATATGCAAAATGCAACCGGATTTGTTACATTTGTGCGTTAAAAACTAATCCAGAGAAGCCTCAAATTTACAGAATCTTACCATTAATGTTATGCAAATTTGACATTTTCCTTCGGAAAGATTGAGTGTGAGGGGTGTACAAAGTAAGAAAACTGCCTATATAAAGTGAATAAACATGCATTAAACGAGATAATTATAAATATGTAAATATGTAAATTGAGTGTAAGGGGTATACAAAGTAAGAAAACGGCCTTTAAAGTGAATAAACATGCATTAAACGATGGCAAATATAATCTCAAGCGGCAATTGGTATTAAGCGCAACATAAACCATGATTGGGAGCTGAATCATTTTGAAAAAAAAGTTTAAATCATTTTGAAATGATGTATATCAAAGTTATAACATTAAAATAAGGTAGGCAAATATTGTTTTAAAATAACGTTGTAATAATGTTGAAAAATGAATAGCATTGAACTAACTTTGAACTAGTTATGAATTGAACATTAAAGCAATTGAAATAATGACAATATTCAAAAAATAGAATTTTAAACGTTTAAGCATTCATGTTATTCTAGATTGGATCCGAGACCAACATGGTTGTTTCTATCCTCAGGTAGAACTGGGTGTTGTTGAAAAAATAACATCTTATAAAAATCACGTTTTTGAAAATATTTCTAATTGAGAAAAGTCTTTGGACATAATTAGACCGATTATTATTTAACACATATGAAATATAATTTTTAATAGAAATATAATTAACATTTATTTTTAGATTAGCCGGGCATGGCCTTAAAACTATAATTCTTGAGTTAATTTCTAATAAAAGTTTGTTTGAGACTCTTTCAAAGTTGTATTAGATTCTAATGACGTTTTCTGAGATTCTAAGACGTTTTCTGAGATTCTAAGACGTTTTCTGAGATTCTATTGCCGTTTTCTGAGATTCTATGGACGTTTCCTAAGATTCTAATGACGTTTTCCAAGCTTTGATAGATGTTTTTTTAAAAATTCTTTGACGTTTTCTGAGAATATGTAAACATTTTCTTAGATTATGTTGACTTTTTCTGAGATTATATATTGACATATTCTGAGATTTTATTGACGTTTTCTGAAATTCTATTGACGTTTTCTTAGATTCTTTTGACGTTTTCTAAGATTTTCTGAGATTTGATTAAAGTTTTATAATATCCTATTAAATCAGCATTTCTAAATATCTATTCAATGATCTATAGGTTCTTGTTAATAACCGAATGGACTTGATTTATTTTTCAATAAATTGCGAGAATTGCTTGTACCCAACGAGCCCAACCCTTTACAATATGCATTATACATACATAGGTATTCCAACAGCCCTTTACAATATACATTATACATCCATTGGTATTCCAACAGCACTTTACAATATACATTATACATCAATAGGTATTCCAACAGCCCTATACAATATACATTATACATCCATAGGTATTCCAACAGCCCTTTACAATATACAACACATCCATAGGCATTCCAACAGCAATTTACAATATACATTATACATCCATAAGTATTCCAACAGCACTTTACAATATACATTATACATACAAAGGTATTCCAGCAATCCTTAACATTTAACATTTTACAAACATAGGTATTCCAACAGCCCTTTACAATATATAATATACATACATAGGTATTCCAACAGCTCTTTACAATATACATTATACATCAATAGGTATTCCAACAGCCCTTTACAATATACATTATACATCCATAGGTATTTCAACAGCACTTTACAATATACATTATACATCAATAGGTATTCCAACAGCCCTATACAATATACATTATACATCCATAGGTATTCAAACAGCCCTTTACAATATACAACACATCCATAGGCATTCCAACAGCCCTTTACAATATACATTATACATCCATAGGTATTCCAACAGCACTTTACAATATACATTATACATACTAGAGATGTCAACGATAGTGTAACGTAACGTAAAATGTACGTTTTTGTAAAGCAATCCTTAACAATATGCATTATTCGTACATAGGTATTCCAACAGCCCTTTACAATATGCAATACATTCATAGGTATTCCAACAATCCTTTACAATATACATTATACATACATAGGTATTCCAACAGCACTTTACAATAAACATTATACATCCATAGGTATTCCAACAGCACTTTACAATATACAAGATACATACATAGATATTCCAACAGCCCCTTTACAATATACAATACATCCATAGGTATTCCAACAGCTCTTTACAATATACATTATACATAAAAAGGTATTCCAACAGCACTTTCCAATAGCACTTTACAATATACATTATACATCCATAGGTATTCCAACAGCACTTTACAATATACGATATACATTTATAGGTATTCCAACAGCCCTTTTCAATATACATTATACGTACATAGGTATTCCAAGAGCCCTTTACAACATACAATATACATTTATATGTATTTCAACAGCACATTACATTATACATTATACATACATAGGTATTCCAACAGCAATTTACTATATATATTATACATTTTAAGGTATTCCAACAGCACTTTACAATATACATTATACATTTTTAGGTACTCCAACAGCACTTTACAATAAACATTATACATACATAGGTGTTCCAACAGCCCTTTACAATATACATCATGCATCCATAGACGTATTCCAACAACCCTTTACAATATACAATATACATTTATAGGTATTCCAACAGCCCTTTACAATATACATTATACATACATAGGTATTCCAACAGCCCTTTACAATATACATCATGCATCCATAGACGTATTCCAACAACCCTTTACATTATACAATATACATTTATATGTATTCCAACAGCCCTTTACAATAAACAATATAGATAGATAGGTATTCCAACAGCACTTTACAATATACATATTACATACATCGGTATTCCAACAGCACTTCACAATATACATTATACATACATAGGTATTCCAACAGCCCTTTACAATATACATTATACATTTATAGGTATTCCAACAGTACTTTGCAATATACATTATACATCCATAGGTATTCCAACAGCCCTTTACAATATACATTATACATCCATAGGTATTCCAACAGTACTTTACAATATACATAATACGAACAGAGGTATTTCAACAACCCTTTACAATTTACAATATACATTTATTGGTATTCCAACAGCCCTTTACAATATACATTATACATCAATAGGTATTCCAACATCACTTTACAATATATATTATACATCCATAGGTATTCCAACAGTCCTTTACAATATACATTATACATCCATAGGTACTCCAACAGCACTTTACAATATACATTATACATCCATGGGTATTCCAACAGCCCTTTACAATATACAATTTACATACATAGGTATTCCAACAGCCCTTTACAATATACATTATACATACATAGGTATTCCAACAGCACTTTACAATATACATTATACATACATAGGTATTCCAACAGCACTTTACAATATACATTATACATACATAGTTATTCCAACAGCACTTTACAATATACATTATACTTACTTAGGTATTCCAACAGCCCTTTACAATATACATTATACATACATAGGTATTCCAACAGCCCTTTTACAATATGCATTATACATACATAGGTATTCCAACAGCCCTTTTACGAGGAGCCAATAGACCTCTTCTAACTAAAGTAAGTAATTTTGTTAGATTGTAAGAAATGGAGTAGTTGAAAATTATAAAAGTCTAGATTTTATTTGATTCATGTTCAAAAGCTATTTTTTAAACTAGATATGTACTCTTAACTGTTAAGAAAATATTCAAAAATTAAGTCGTAATAATGTAAGAAAAGACTTGAAATTACGTCCCCTCTCCAAAGTCTCTTTTGCAATTATAAATATTAATTATACATCTAAGCGTGGAAATTTGCTAATTTAAAAAAAAAAATTTTACCTGCTTTTGCATAACCATTAATTTAAAAGGGCAAGGGGGGGGCTCAGCCTTTTTATTCCACGGAACCGTACTCAAACTTTATGAAGAAGGTTCATGAAAATGTACAAAGTATCAAGAATTTTCTTTCATGGTGTCACTTGAAATTAGGTTCACATCCATAAGATCCCGTTCATGTGCAAGTTGCAATTATACTTATTAATTATACATCCTGGCATTGAAATTCTTTAGCTGTTTTTGTTCATTTTTTTGTTATGTTCTTGGCCTGCTTTGGACGTAAACATTAATTTTCCCCACCTTTAGTAATGTATGAAAATATTCCCCTCAACCATACTCTAACTTGAAAAAGAAGGACTTAGAAAATGTAAAAAATTGAATTGTAAGAATTTCCTTTAATCGGACTAAATAAATGGGGTCATTTGAAATAAGGTTGACACTCCCTTTAAAACGCATTTTGCAATTTAAAGAAAGACATTATAAGTTTGGAAAACATCTAGGTATTGCATTTTTGGAACTGACTTTTTGTTTTTTGTTTTGTTTTTAGGAACATGAATTTTCAAAGAAAGGGGGGGGGGGTATTTATAGCGGGGTTTTTAGGAGGGTAGAGGGGGTTTAACCATCTTCGCCCCACCTCTAGAACAGTATGAAATATTCCCCTTAACCATTGATATAACAATTAAACAAACATGGAGGGCAAACATTGTGTAAACTTGAAAGGGAATATTAATTTAAAGTTTAAATGTTTTTATTTCAAAGTGACTGTTTATGCATTTTCATGTGACCCCGCATAAACAAGTTACTTGTCCTGTGTCCGAATTTAATGAATTTAAGCCGCGTCTCAAATCCCCCAAAACTGCTTTCAATTGAGCGCCGCCGGCTTAAATCTTTAAAAATGGAATACAATCTAAAGTGGAACAAACCATATTTTAGCCGCGGCTTAGATTTATGCCGAGGCTCAAATTCTTTAAATTCTGCCTCAGAGCAGAAGAATATTCTTTAAGCTATTATCTGTATACTAATGATATTAAGTGTTGTCTTGAAAATGTTGTCAATATTATTCCTTGTCTATGCTGCCCTCAAACTATAGTCTGAGATGCTGCCTAAATCTTCAAATCTCCGTATTAGAAAAAAGTTTATACCATTAATTTTTTTCCGAGCAAAGTTTTTAAAGATGTCGTACAGTCGTCGTCGGATATATTAAAACACTAAAGACGACTTTCGATTTACATTTTGAATTATATCAAGTTTTTAAACAATATGGATACGTAAACAAGGTAACAACGAGAATTATATCAAGTTTTTAAACAATATGGATACGTAAACAAGGTAACAACGAGAAGCTGTCGAATAAAAAAACTTCTCTTTGATTACGTATAAACCTGCATAATTTTAAAAAAGTTTACATAAAATAGTCTTCATCTTGTTTAATCGCCTATCCGTACAAAAATCATGGCTCTGACTACACTTGAAATTACGCCGCAACATTAAAGATATTTTAGTGTGTAGATTTAGTAATAGTCGTACAGGGTGTCCCACGAAACATGACAATAGCAAGACGACTTAAAAGTTGTCTGTCAAATTTTAATTTATTTGTGATATTCAGTCGTCAACATAATTTCACATGTATATTCCTTTGAACAATAACCACAAAACTAGTCCTGGCATTTCCAAAATGTGGTCTGCCTTGTGCTGTCAATATAATCGGAGATATTAAACATTTCGTGTAGATTTTAATATTTTTAAGCAAAACCAAATTTGTCGAAATCTGAACAAAATTCTACATATCTCCGGTGATATTGAAAGCACAAAAAGGCAGATCACATTTAGGTAAAATTGTGATTAATAACTTTACGATTAGGTTGGCGAATAAATGCCGCAAATTATTTCAAAGATCAAAGACGACCTACAATTCGTCTTGCTACTGTCATGTTTCGTAGGACAACATTATTAAATAATTGTTTTTTTTTTAAAGCTGTTTGTGAGTGAACTAGATTTGGAAAGGGAAGCAAGGCCACCTATTTTTATTGATTACAGGTATTTATATAATAAAAAAAAACTAATTTTGTAATTGTTTTATTCAATCAATATAATATGCAGTTTATGGATATCTTTCAAATTTGGTTATATATCTCGTTATTCATTTTGGAAAAATCTATCGTCACTGAATTGGGATTAAAACCCTATTGTGATTGCTTAATGCAAGTTTTAATTCTCGTTTGAAATTATAAATGTTTAAAAAGAAGCATATACAATATGTAAAGTTGAAAAAATAATTTTATTATTAAATATCTATATTTTGTATAATTCTTTGCAATAGATTTAAGGATATGCTTCCAGTTGTTGTAATAATTTTAGCAGTAAAAGCATTTTCATTTTGAAAGTTAAAGTATATGATGTAAGAAGGATACAGCGATTTAAAAAAAAATGAAAAAAATAAAGGATTTCAAAAGTATTTTAGAATTCATAATTTTGCCCTGTGCACCGTATCAATTCATCTCCTCTATCTCTGTAGATCATCTCCCCTTACACAGTGATCCAATAGTTGCCAGTTTTTCCAATTCCTTCCTAAAAGCTGAAGCTAATAAATAGCAAGTGCTTAAAGGGAATGTAAAGGAAAAATGAAAGGGGGTACAGGCTGAAAGCTAATCACTTTAGCTCTTGATTGCGACCCATGAAAGTTGATTTTGATGTTCCTGTCTCGAGAAATTGATATAAAACTGGTCACGTGATACAGACAGAGACACCTGACCACGATACTGCACTACTATTGGTGGGAGTTCTTGTGACGTAATAATCTTCGTTTTCAGATTGGTTGCATATTTGCTGAAATTGATTTGTTAAACCTACTATTTCTAAAGAATATTATATATTTATGAATTTTTTTTTAAATTTGACACAGTTTAGTAACAATTTCCCGAAATAGGAACATCAGATATATCTTTTATGGGTGGCGATCAAGAGCTGAAGTGATTAGCTTTCATCCTATACCCCATTTTTCCTTTACAGTCCCTTTAAGTTCTATTATTTACATGGCTATTGAACTACAAAAAGAAGAAGTGAATTAGTGGTGTAAAATAAAAGGCCAGGTCGATGCGACGCCTCAAAGTCCACCTGTCTTGAAGTTGATGCAACTTTTCATAGAAGTCTGAATCTATGTGCTTAAAGTTTTGAACTCATTGTTAATCATAAAAAGCAAGAAAAATTAAATTTCACCTTTAAAATTTGTTAGTTGACATAAGTTAAATGTGCCTTTGTTTCGAAAATGTATTTTAAAAAGAGGAAAAACGCAAAAAAATGTACTTCACCTAAAATGTCGTCTTACTTTCAAATTATTAATCAATCAATATTTATTCGAGAGTTAGATTATTTTTTATTTTGTTTTTTTTCAATCTACATATCTATATACATCGGAAAGTTTCCTAACACTAGTTTTGATGTCTATAAAGTTGCACAACACTGGCCATAATATTTACTGATACTGAAATGATCGAGGTCCTATTAAAATGTGTGCCCGATTTTAACATTTATCTTATATAACCTCAATACACTCAATTAAGCAACCTGAGGCCGAATTTAAAGAATTTGAGCCGCAGCTTTAATTTAAGCTGTGGCTCAAATATGGTTGGTTCCAATTAAACTTGTATTCAATTTTAAGCCGGTGCTCAATTAAAACCGGTTTACGGGGGATTTGAGACGCGGCTTAAAGGGACAGACAGGCTATGTAAGGTTACAGTTAAACTGAGTATGCAGTGTTGTGGACAAATTCTTTAGGATTCATTTAAGACATAAAAAACGTTACCACAATGCATAATTACTGAGTTTGAGTGAATAGACGACGATCAAAATCATAAATTGGGGTGGGTACGTTTTCAGAATCTGTTTTATTTTTAAATTATTAAATAACGATGACGAAAAATAAAGTGAAAATTATACAATAAACTAATTAGATTGTTAGAAAAATACTTTTCAAAAGAAATTTGTCAATAAATCAAATCAATAATTTCGTGTTCATCATTATATTGAATTTCTTATTTTCTACAAAATCTTCAAATGTCGTCTTTTCAATACAAATTCCAGAACAAATCAAATCAATTATTTCGTGTTCATCATTATATTGAATTTCTTATTTTCTACAAAATCTTCAAATGTCGTCTTTTCAATACAAATTCCAGAACATCTGCAGAACATCTTTGTGAATAATCAGAGATTATAAAAACTAAAAATTAAATAATTTACTTATTTTCGATGATAAGATTAATTTTTATTTTCTCAACCTGTTCCTAAAATACTATTTAGTTTACTGTAGACTTTTATTTACATTTTTTGTAGTCGTTATTTAAGAATAAAAAAAAAAAATTCTGAAAATGAACGTCAACTTTGCGCTCAAACTCAGTATTTACAGATCTTTAAAAAGTTGTATATGCCTCAATTGAATCCTAAAGAATACTCTGCATACTCAGTTCAACTACCTTACATAGCCGGTTTGTCCCTTTAAATTCATTAAATTCAGACACAGAGATATGACAATACAATTAAACCCAGATCTTGGGAGACATCGAATAAACAAATAAAAGTGATTTCCTTAACCTACTGCTAACAGAATGCTGCAGATATTTTGTCTTTTAATTTAATAATAATATGGAGCTCTTTAAAACTGTTCCAGCATACGTCATAGCTATTTATTTATTATTACACTTTTATAATGTAGTACAGTATAATAGTAAAACTAAAAACCCATTGAAAAATTTTCAAGACGACATTTTATATATTTTTTCGATGTTTTCGAGGTTCTTTGTTAAACTGTATATTTCCCCCTGCCAGGTCCTCTGCTGTAATCCAGTGTATTGGTCCTTTAGCAACTCTAGCTGCGGATAGAACAGTTCATTCTATTGGTAAACTTTTAATATTGAACAGGATACATAATTTCCTGAACTGTTATTCCCGCCCCCCTAGCATTGGAACCCAGATTTGACTGGATTTTTCTCTGTAAAATTCAACCTTCTCAACTTAGACGTCCAACACGTCTCCGAGTTCCCCAATCAATTTCAGGATCGGAAAATACAAACAGATAATACAACTTTATAAATATAGATTACCCCCCCCCCCCTTACTCCACAACTAAGGGATAAGGGTGAATTTTAATAACTATAGTGCTGAACCTATAATCATAATCATAACAATATTGGTAATATTAATATTTATATAAAAAATCGTCAAAATCATGACTTGATAACAAATGAAGATGAAATAATAACTTTTATGGGCAACCCCGGGCGTTTTTATTATAATCATAATTCAATACCTAGCACGGTAAACGGTGGGATTAACTATGCCTAATAATAATTACATTAACATGGGCAATGCCCGGCACTCTAGCTAGTATGATAGTAATAATAATGATAATAATAATAATAATAATAATAATAATAATATTAATAAAAATAGTAATAATAATGATTAATATTTCCAGGAATAGGGCACACAGAAATGTTAACAAGCTTGTTCCAGGTAAAGAAAGAAATTTTACAATCTGCACAGATCAAAAAAACAAAATGCAACTATTTGTTAAAAATATAAAAAAAAATTTAAATTATCAATGCCAGGAAACTTTTAAATTATGGTAAGTAAAAGTGTTATTTGTAAGATGAAAAGTTCTAACTTCTAAAAGATCACGTTCGAAATCTTTTGGATATTTGATCATCACATTTGATACAATAAATGTTATATAAATCATTCATAAGATTAAAGGTAAAACATTTCAGGACGGAAGAGCAAGAACCCCTCTTCCCTCCTCTCCCACCCTGGCTAGGAGGTCTAATTCAGAACAAGATATTTTCAATTCTAATGAAAATCAAGAAAATGTGAGGATTGTTTACTTTTATTTTTACAGATAAGAATGAAAATGATGATAATGATGATAATAATGACGATAATGAAGATAATGATGATGATAATAATGATAATAATAATGATAATAATGATAATAATAATGATAATAATAATGATAATGATGATAATGATGATACTGAAGGGCGGGAGTATGGAAGGGACTGATGATCTCCAAGATACTATGGAGGGAGGGGAGGGGGAAGAGGAGGAGGAAGGAGATTATCAAGATGAAGAAGAGTATGAAGAAGACCAACAAGATACAACCCAAGTAAACAAACTTTTATTCCAAAATCTGACAATTTAAGATTTAACAAATCTATTGCTTCGAGAGTAGAGCTGAGCTTCTCCTTCATGGGAAATTATCGGGTTTTTATCAACACGCCTGATTAATGGCCATATTTTTTTAAAACGTTTAAAGAAGTTCACAGACTATTTTCAATCACAGATTATTAACTGTTACACATATTTAACTGGTAAACATCCATAACTGTCAAACATCAATAACTGTCAAACATCATTAACTGTCAAATATCATTAACTGTCAAGCAATATTAAATAGTTCACACATTGCTAAGGTCTTTGATCTTTAAATTTATTTTTGCCAATGACTCTGTCAACCAACTTTTTAAAGTAAGATTCATAGAAAAATAATCACAAAATACTTCTGTCCTCGCATTTCAAATTGTGGTCTGCCTTTTCTGTGCTTTCATATTATCACTGGAGACATAAAAATTGTCGAAATCTGAAAAAAATCTCCTCAAATGGGCAGACCACGTTTTGGAAATGCCAGGCTTATGTAATTTTTTTTATTTTTAACTGTAAAATGTAATTTCTAAAATTTATTTGAAATATCTAAGACCACCTGCAAATCGTCTTGCTAATGTCCTGTTTCGCGGGACACCCTGTATCTGAACATTTTCTTAGTAATCATGAAGACAAATATTTTCGCGGTGTATGACCAATTTTTAGGCGAGAATTTTCGTTTTCCCCCCAAATGTTAATTTACATTCCATTTATTCAGACGGAAGAGAACCCGACTGTGCAAAGAAAGCCGCGGAGGAAGCGCGAAATACGCGCGGGACTTCTCAAGGAGATTCTATCTAACAGAGGACAGAAGCGGCAATCCTTTACAGGGATTTTCTTGTAATCTTCAGAATCTGGCAGCATCCTGACCAATACAAGTATTTATAAGTACCGGCCGGTCTTGTTTACAGCGAAATTCAACCCGGACTAACCAGAGTTAGAGGCATTCGGTTTCTTCTATTTGAAATCACACACGTTTTGGTTTATATTTTAACAATCTTTAAAGTTACGGATTTGTTTGTTTTATACTTTTTTCAAAACGTATATGCCGGCAAAAAAGTATTTAAGAAAGAAGGTTGAAAAATTATGTTTAATTAGGAGAAATTGTGATCGAAAGTCATAGCTTTCTGGAATATTGACAGAACCATTAAATCTACGTGAATTGTACTATATAATATATGCATTTACTGGCACATTCTAAATTTCGAAATTAATAAATTGCTTATATATTGAACAAAAAAATCTTTATTTAGCAGTCACCCAACTTTTGCTGACAAATAAGCGATTTGTTTAAAATGAGCTATTTATTGTAGCTTATTTAGCCAATATATAAATTATCCTGCAAAACTTTGGTCTCAAAATGTATAGTTTAGTTGTCATCATAACGTAGACAATATCACAAGATATTCAGAATCTAATAGTTTATTTTTTTTAAGTGAACAAGCAACTTGTTTTGCACTTTTCTCTTCGTCGTTTTAAAAACGAAACGAACGTTTTTCAAAAAGTAAATACGATCCATCCCTTACTGCAAGTTGTTTGCTATCTGCGATCCATGTGCGATCCCTCCCCTTTAATCTTCATAGTTCATCTACATTATTAAGAACTAGGTTGGAAACCCAGCTATGCCTATTCAACTAAGAACTTTTAAACCCAACTATAAAGAACCGAGTTTTATAAGTTAATATTTGAGGTATATAGGTTAAGAGGTTCTTGAGTTATGATCGGACATAAAAACATACAAACAAACAGAGATTACTACTTTTTATATTTTTTTTAGCATTTTATTGGATGATATAGAGGTTTTTAAATTATGTTCATCTTGCATCATTTCCACTTTTCGTTTTGTATCTAGTCATGTATCCAATAAAAAATGGAAAAAAGTCATTTTTGTTTTATCTTTTAACTAAAATTTTTTATTTTGAAGATTTAGTAATTTTAAACATTTCAAAAGACTTATTTCACACCGGGGATGACTTTGTTAAGGTTTGTTTCGTCATTTTGTATGAATTTTTATGATTTTTCTGTATAAAGATTTAATAATTAAATATATTTCAAAAATAGAATTATTGAAGTCAGAAAGATAATCTTAACACATAATATTTACAATAATTTAATACCATACTTTACACATAGAATTAATACTGCAAGAAATTAGAAAAATGTGAAAACAATACAACTCAAAAATGTTTAATAGGTTACAAACTTTAAGATTAAAAAATCAAAAAATTGAATTTGAATTCAGCAAATCTCTTAATGCTGCTTCAAGTATAGTGTATCCTACGAAACATTACAGGGTGGATATTTTTAAATGTCTTCTTCAATAATTTTTTAAGATGTTTGATACCAAACAGAATAATAATAATTTTTATGGGAGTCATATTATAGTAAAATTGATTTTGAAGTAAAAGAAATTTTATCAAACGATTTTTTTAAAGAAAGACACTGCAAAAAGTCTTGTAATATCTAATATTAGTAATTGGAAGAAGACATTCAAAACTATCAAAAATATTTACCAAATGTGATATTATAAAATTTTTAGCAGCATTTTAATCCAACGGTATCACAGTTTTCTCATGATCACTGTCAGTATTTATTGGGGACGGGGGTTCAAATCATTTAACTTAGATGTTACTACCCATGTGTTGTGTTCCAAATCCCACGAATTAAGGAGAAAAATAAAATGTTAAATTTGTTGATAAACAATGATGTAAGATGTTGTGATATAATATTTAACAACAATGATGTAATAAAAAATACTGCTGATTTCATGATCAGTATCGTGAATCATATAGAAATTTACTCTGACTTAATATTTCAGAAAATGACAATGTTATCTAAGTCTGTTAATAATTTCTGCAAAGATTTCATCTCTTTCATCCGTAACGCATGTAACGATGAATTTGAAATTTTATCATATAAAGCATTTTTCATATCTGCAGTTTAATTAAATTATATTTAAAAACCATCGGTTGTGCCCCCTTTTCTAAAATCAGCATTTGCCGTTATATCTCCAGTATTTCTGTCTACAACAATGGCCTGAAATATGAAAAAATTTAAATTTGATATTTTAATACAATTTTTTAGGTTAATACCAATAGAACTAAAATTTAATTGTTAGCGAAAAGTAACATTTGGTAATTTGGTAAAAATCCTGTAAACATGTAATTTAAAAAAGCTTTTAGATAGAAATCAAAAATAGAAAAGTCGTCTTCATCGTATTGATATAAACGGATACCACTGTACCTGTACAGAAGCGCCACCAATAACATGTCGTTCTAAGCTATGTCCAAATGTTTTTAACCCATCAGTAATCCACCTCGTAGTGCCTGACTCAAACACAACCTGGGTTAATTTTAATCTGTCAAAAACCTTGATAAATTAGACTAGATAGCTCATGTCGTCTTCACCACACCGGAGTGTTGCAGCTAAAATTGAAAATATAATTTTATAGCTCTGTACTAGTTACGTCCATACAGTACATGAAATAAAATGAGTTGCGGCAAGTATTGTTTAATGTTAAGACCCCAAAATGGAAACTCGGGAGTTTAATTCAACAATACTCTTTTAAATTTCGAGCTTTGCTGCAACAGTAAACAATCTATTTTAATGCATCCAGGGTCAAAAAGTACAATTCAAATAAAAGTTTTAAGCACAACACTATTTGGTGCTGGTGCTATTTATAGACGGATATTTCATACGGTAGTATGCGATTATATCAATATAAAGAAGACGACTTTCGATTTCAATTTTGGTTTATATCAAGCTTTTTAACAACATGGATACATACAAACAAAGAAACAAATAATATCTGTCGATTTAAAAAGCTTCTCTCTGATTACTTGTGTACTCTAAACAATCAAAACTTAAATATAAAGTCGTCTTCATTGTTTTGATAAAATCGCCTTGACCACTGTAGATAACCAAATCATTTATAGTTCATATCATTGATAGGACGTTTCATAGACAGGAAATTTCATAGACCAGACATTTCATAAACATGACATTTTATGGACAAAATTTGGTAATTTCATAAACATGACATTGTATGGACAAAATTTGGTTATTTCATAAACAGTTAAAGGTTTTGGTTTAGTAAAAAATCAGTCATAATTTTATAAAATGCGATAAGCTTGAGAAAATATATTTTTGTTAAAATGCATAAAAGTATATTGTTCTGCAATTTGTGTGCCTGCAAAATGTAAATAAGATATAAATTTTATCAATTTAAAGGAGAAAATATGAATAATACATATGTCAAGTAAAAGTTAGAAATTAAAAAATGACGCGTATCTATGTATGAAAACTATTCTCTGTCTATAAAATGTCCTTTCTATGGTATTATCTGTCTATAAAATGTCCTATCTATGGTTACCTGTCTATAAAATGTCCTATCTATGGTTACCTGTCTATAAAATGTCCTATCTATGGTATTACCTGTCTATAAAATGTCCTATCTATGGTATTACCTGTCTATGAAATGTCCTAATTTTGAAATTTTCTATCTTTGAAATGTTCTGCCTAGGAAATGTCCTGTCTATAAAATGTCCTATCTATGGTATAATCTGTCAATAAAATGTCCTATCTATGGTAATACCTGTCTATGAAATGTCTATGGTATTACCTGTCTATGAAATGTCCTAATTTTGAAATTTTCTATCTTTGAAATGTTCTGCCTAAGAAATGTCCTGTCTATAAAATGTCCTATCTATGGTATTACCTGTCTATAAAATGTCCTATCTATGGTATTACCTGTCTATGAAATGTCCTAATTTTAAAATTTTCTATCTTTGAAATGTCCTGTCTATAAAATGTCCTATTTATGAAATATCTTCCTTTGAAATGTCCCATCACTGATTATTTCCTGATTGAAATCTTAACAAATTATGAAATACGGTTTGAGCACTTTCAGTTTAAACATCATTTTAAAAATGTATTCATTTATAACTTAGTAAAGTACAAACATGCTTTTAAATTTTCTGGACCTGGCGCTGCATAAGAGGCTGGACACTCACACCGAGACAAAATATGTGAACAAAAAAAATTAAATTTGATTTTTCCTCATTCTTAATGCGACATTTAATGCATAACTTGTTCCAATAACTTATTAACGAATAAAAAAAATAAGCAAAAGGAAAATTTAAAGATAAGAAATTTTGAGACCATATCAAATCTTCTGCGACAAATTGCACCATTATAAGTATTTACAAATAGCTACATTCTTCCAGGGATATTACGGGAATTTAAATTTACCAATGGTTTTTCAAGATCAATTTTGTCTTCAACGCATCCAGACTGCAGCGAAAGATGTTTTATAAGGAAAATCGGTCGGGTGAATTTGTGGATAAATGCAATTTTTAATTTTCTAAAAAATGTAGTTGTACACAGTTTTGTCGTCTTTTGAGATGAAAATCGGCGAATTTTTTTTTCTCGCAGGTGGTTATTTTACATAACTGTCCTAAGGGATGTTGAATAAACTTAATTTCCCTCTGTTATGGGAATCATAGCTTAGGTCGGTATTGGTTAAAAGGCGGTAGCAAATTTATCCCGCCAAAAAATTTTCTGCAATTTCTAAATTGGCTGTATACCTTAGTAATTTTATGTCACTTTGCGGTCACATGTTTTTTTTCGTAAGTTTCACCTTCATTGGCATCAGCTGATGATGTAATCTTCTTGAATCAACTGCAGACTTAACATTCTCACCCAAGAAAAAAAGTCTGAGCAAAACCTAAGTAAAGTCCTTAAGTCAAAGTAGAAAATTGTGAAAGTAATATTCTCAAATTTCGAGGTAATCTCAAAACTATAAGCAATAACTGTTTTCAAAATAATTGCGGCATTTTTGAACAAAATTTCCCGCATTTCTATTTTTGATTTTTGTTGTAAACCTGAGCAACTGAAGTTGTGATTTTGGTCCCTCCACTAGCACCAACAACAGCCAAAACTTTATTCTTCTCGTTTAGAACTATAGTTGGGCTCATACTTGACACAGGACTATACAATGTTTCATTGAAAATTATAATGATAAATAACAATAATAACCATAACTACAATATTCAAAAACATTGGATAAAAAATTTAGTTTTGCTCTAATATTTTTAAAGATGAATTTGTACTTTTTTAAGACCATACATAAACTTTTAAAAATTTTGCATTGGAGTGAGGTGGAGTAGGTTTGTTGGGTAATTATATTAATCAAAGGTACAGTATAAGTATTACCCTCGAAGCATGAGACAGCCAGTCGACTTAAAAGTCTTTTGCTTTAAATGATGGCATTTAAAGGGATATCAAATGATCTTGCAAAGAAAGAAACAAGTTTACAGTTGTTGAGAATCGTGATGAAGATGAAAGTAAAATGTAGGTTTTAAAGATAAATTCGATTGTACAAAAATCTAACCTTCAGAGTTCTCCCGGGTATTTTAGGTAACAGATTTACGTAGATTATATTTTAATTAGATCACTTTACAATCGAATTTTACAAACATAATTAATAAAACAATAATAAAAAATAGCCCTAGTCCTGACAATTCCAAAATGTGTCCTGATTAACTGTCAATTAATTCCGGGTCTTTCTGATTATGATGACTGTATAGTATATACCAATGACCTGTACAATCCGACCCTTTGTTTAACTTTTCAGATTTAATTGATGACTTAATAGTAATTATTCAACAAACGGGAATACAGAGAGGTGTAAAATAAGTAAATATAGTAAAACAGGGGCAAAACTAGGATACTCAACTATTTTTTATAGGCTGTACACCAAATAATTCGTTCTTTTGCAAACATTTTAGGTTTTTTAAATTTTTATTAATATTTTTAGATTTTCTGTACAATTGTATTTATCTTAAAACCCTGCATATGACAAGTGAAGGGCCTATTACCGTTTACCCGGTGTTGGGAAGTTAGTTGGTGAAGGAGGAACACCAAAATAATTAATTGTTCCAGGATATGAAAAATCATCCATCTGAAGAAAAAATTATAAATTTGAAAACATTTATCATAGCTAGAGATGGGCACCATTATCGTGAATGTCGAACAAGTAAAATATTTCAAAACAAGCAAAATTGTCCATGAACGATTTAGTAGTTCAGAAAAATTAAGAAACAATGGACGAAAAAATTTGGATTGTTCAGAGAAAAACGAAGATTTCACAGAATAAGCAATTTAATTGAATAATCGTTTAGTTAAAAAACCATCTACAAGATATTGTTAAACTGCAAAGAATAATTTCAACCACATCTCTTGTGGGCTGGATCAAGTCGAAGAAAAGTGGTTCAACCAAGTCTAAAGAGTTCAACTATGTCTTGTTAACCAATAAATTTGGTCAGCTGTGTAGCATACCTGATTGTTCAAAATAACTCCAGTTGAAGGTGACATAAACTTACTACCGTACAATAGATTTATAGTTGATGTTACAGATACTGCATCCCCTGAAAATACTGGATCCCCTGAAATACAGTTGATATTACAAATACTGGATCCCCTAAAATACAGTTGTTATTACAAATACTGCATCCCCTGAAATGGATTGTTGATATTACAAATACTGCATACCCTGAAATGGATTTATTGTTGATATTACAAATACTGCATCCTTTGGAAACTATAAAATCAATGGTGAAACTATGAAGTGCTTCTTTAAAATCTGAAATCATTTTTTTTTCATATTTTCAAACACATTCAGATTTAGTTTTTGTTTAGTTTGCAAGTAAATTGACTAGTGTCAATGCGTAAATTTATCATCTGTAGACTCAACACTTATCCAATTAAGCGTGTTCTAGAGATTTGGTAAGCTTAGGAAGTACAAGAAGGATAAGCCTTTATTTTAGAGAGAGCCCTTCTTTAGTTTTTAGCTATGACTTCAGAATTACCTCTAAACAAAATTGTTGATAACATTGAATAAATGTTACCTGCTGGCGATAGTATGGATATATGAGAGGTCCCGTGATCCTAAAAATATTTTGTTTAAACCGGAACCAAAAACACATTTACCATT